CTTTCTCTCTCTCTAACTGGGGCTGACTTTATAGCTGCCACTTGTGTGGTCACACAGTGTCCCATTGTCAAAATGCCTTTTACTTTCTCTGCTGTCATTTGTTTGATGATTAATAACTTATGAACAAGCCCCCCCCCATTTTCAGTTTGCTCTGGAACCCACAGAGAGCACAAGGTCTCTATTTCTTAGCTCCCCTCCTCCCACAGTCTAGTGGGATCTAGCTCACCATGCAGGGTTAGTCTACATGGAGAGCAACTTGTCCAGGAGTCAGAGAAGAGGAAAATAAACGCATTTCTGGTAAAGATGGTTTTTACTGTTGCCAGCTGAGTGATGGATCTGAGCAAAGTGAGTTAATGAATAACCGAGCAACCGGGGGACTCATCTAGGGACAGAACAACAGAAAACAAAGCTCTTGTCAGAAATTCCTTCCCCAGTCAAGGAAGAGGTGTTACCTAAGGAGTACCCACTTCTGGGATTTGGCTGCTAAGAAGCATCTCTACATTCAGGGTCTGTGCTGGGTGATGGAAAGTGAGGGTCTTAAGACAGCACCCCCCCCCCCCCCCCCCGCCATACTGCTTGTTGGAGGCAGGAGCTGTGCATCCCCCTCCAGCAGACTCCCATCTCAAACTCACACTGCTCTATTTCATTGCTAGCCACTTTCAAAAGCACATTTATTAGGACATAATTCACATACCACAAAATTACCTCTTTAAAACTATGCCACTGGGCGTCTTTTTAGTGTGTCTGTGGAGTTGTACCATATCACGCAGCCATCACCACAGTCCACTGTAGAGCACTCTCAGTGTCCTGAAAGAAGTGTCATGTGCATATGCAGTCCTTCTCCAATCCTTCCCCACTCTATCCCGGTCCCCACCACTGGCAATCACGAATCCACGCTCTGTCCTTTAGTGTCTAGGTATCACACTCTCGGCTTCTCCTTGTCATAGCCTGCATCAGTGGGCAAATAACATTCCGTTCTGTGGACATACTATGCCGCTAATTGAGTGTGTCTCGCCAAAGTTATGTGCTGGAAACTTTAGTCCTGATCCAACAGTGCTGGGAGATGAAGCCTTATGAGAGGCAATTCGGCCACGTGGACCCTGCCTTCGTGAACAGATTTATGTCACTATCATGAAGTGGGCTCAGTAAGAAATATGTGTCTTGTGAAAGGATCTGCCCATCCCCATTCCATTCTTTTGCTCTCTTGGCTCTGTTGCAGCTAGAAAACATCACTGATGCTGATATCTGGTCCTGAGCTTCCCATTTTCAGAACCATTTCTTTTCATTTTCAATCCTACAGCCTCACATATCCTGAAGAGTAGCACACAGTGGGCTAAGACATAACATATTTTATTGATCTACTCATTTATTTCAATGAATATTGAAATATTTTCATACGAAAGGCTCCATGCGACCACGTATGTTGTGGCTTGGATGTGAAGTCTCCCACAAAATGTTCATGTGTTGAAGTCCTGTATCCCAGTGTGATAGTGTTCAGAGGTGTGGCCTTGGGGAAAGTGACTGCTGTGTGAGGGTTTTGATTTCATCAATGTCTCGCCTTTGATAAATTCATAGAAAGCGGAAGGCAGGGCCTGGCTGAAGGTTACTGAAGACATATCCTGGAGCTACAACACACCATAGACTCTTCCGCCATGCTTCCCAGCTGCCTGGAGGTGAGAACTTTGAAATCAAATGTTCCCACTACCAAGATCTCCTTCCTCTGCTGAGAACCAAAGCAATAGGTCAGGCCACCTTGGCTGAAATCTTTGAAGCCATGAGCCAAAGTAACACTTTTTTCTTCTTTTAAACGATTTCTCTCAGATATTTGTCACAGTGATGAAATCTGGTTAGCATAGTATATTAGTTACTTTTCTGCTTCTGTGATAAAAATACCATAACCCAAAGCAGCTTCAGGAAGAAAGCAATCAGTTTGGCTTACTTCTAGATGTATTGAGTCCACGATAGCAGATGTCCTAGTTTGGTTTTCTATTACTGTAATAAAACACTGACCAAAAGCAACTTGCAAAGAAAGAATGTATTTCATCCTGAAAGGAAGTCAGGACAGGGACGCAAGGAAAAGACTATGGAGGAACACTGCTTACTGACCTGCTCCTCAAGGCTTGCTCAGCCTGCTTTCTTACACCATCCCAGGACCACTTGCCTGGGGTGGGGGGGGGGTGGCGCTGCCCACAGAGGGCTGGACCCCGTCAATCATTGGTTAAGAAAACACCCACAGTCATGCCTAAAGGCCAATCTGATGGAGACATTTTCTCAGTTGAGAGTTTCTCTTTCCAGATGACTCTAGCTTGTGTTAAGTTGACAAAAATCTAACCAGTGCAGCAGGCAGACATGGTAGCAGGAACAGGAAGCTGAGAGAGAGAGAGAGAGAGAGAGAGAGAGAGAGAGAGAGAGAGAGAGAGAGAGAGAGTGTATTCATAAGAGGACTGGGGCTATATACCTTCAAAGACTGCCCCAGTAACATACATCCTCCAGCAAGCCTCTTAATAGTTCCATAACCTCCCTGAAGAAAGCCACCAACTGGGGACCCAGTGTTCAAATACATGAGCTTCTGGGGGAAATTTCTCATGGAAACCACCACATATAGTATTCTTTTTCTCCCAGGCATATTCTAGGAGTGGAACTGCCAGGCTAGGTTGTAGGCTAAATACTTGTCTATATATCTGTGCAAAGAACCCTTCAGCGTCATTAGAAGGAAACTAGATAGGGAGTATGATGCTTCCTATGGCTGCACATTATATCTTTTATATTTAGTTTCAAAACTTGAAATCAGGCTTACTGGGATAGCCATAGCATAAAATATTTTATAATTAAGTAAATAAAACTGAGAGTAAGTATCATCCTCTGCATTAGAGCCCTGCTAGAGAAGATAATCCAGGATTCCTTCTACTGCTGCCAAAAAACGCATTTGGCATCTGCTCAGAATCATACTCTCTCCTGAGGCACTTTGGAAGATTTGGCCTGGGTAATATTTGTAAGAAAACATGCTTGGAGTTAGTGGGTCATTTTGTGTGCCTAGAAGCCAGGCTAGAGGGAGCAGCTGTGTGAGATGGGAGCAGCCGAAGCTGAGAGGGCATCAGAAGAGTATGTGCAGCGCTAAGTGATGTTTTTAGACTTTAGCATCCACATATATGCTCAGTAGTGAGGAGCAGGCTGAGAACCTGATTTCCGTCAAGGTCCTGCCTTCTATTACCATCAGTCCCAGGGCTGCAGATCCTCCAGGACCTCACTGTAGCTCTTACTACTTTTTGAACCCTGAGCAGTTCAAGGACCCAAATTTGTCTCCTCTTAGCTTTTCTAGGTGAAATAATGCTTGTAAAAGCCAACGATCCCACACCCGGTGAACTGGGAAGAACCAGGAGAAGACACGCAGGCTTTGCGTCCCATTCTTCTCTTGCATAATCAGCAGATCTGGTCTTTCAATTCAATTAAGTTCCACAAGCTTAATTAACTGGCGCCTCTTTGAAAGTTGGGCCGCTTCATGGTAGAGTGGAAAGGCAGCTTCATACCAGAAATCAAGAATAATAGAAAATAAAAAGTAAAGCCTACTGTATAGACTGTGTGCTTGACATGCACAAAACCCTGGGTTCAATCCCCAGCACTGAACCGCTCTCAAAACACATTAAAAGAGGAGCCAATTAGGAAGTTATGGGGAAATCGTCATAATGCTTCCTGGCCAACCTTCCTCTCAGTCTCCTGCATACCACACAATGGCCTTCAAGACTGCCTTTGTTCTGGTGTTTCTCTCAGCTGTCTGGCCTAGGGAGACTCCCCCACCCCTTTTCTTCCTCTGGGTAGGTTTTAATTGGGTAGACATTGCTTCTCAGACTTGAAAGTAGACAGGAGTCACCTGAGGTCTTGTTAAAACACAGATTCTGACTCAGCACGTTGGGAGCAGCCAGAGAACCTGCCTGCTTTTGTAACAAGTGTGTAGATGACACCAATGAGTGCCATATGCTCTGGAGATGGGTGGATTATTTGATTATTTCAGTCTCTGCTTCTTAGTTCTCTCCCTAGTAGTCAGAGGCCTCACCGGGTGCCTGCCCTGGAGCAAGCATGCCCAGGCTGAAGAAACTCCCTTTCCAAGGAAGGAGATAGACTGACTCCTCTTGTGCTTCCTCAAGGGAGGAGCCCACCAGGGCTCTGTGACACTGTCCCAATTCTCTAGTTTCTTCAGGGACACTGAGGAACAGTCTTCTTATATTACATAATAGAACACAAAAATCACGCGGGCATGGTCTAAACAGAGGAACTCTTAATAAGCCGGGCGCGCAGACATTACACATCCTATTCTGCCTAGCATTTTGTCATCTATCTTCTGGGAAAGAGGCTGAGAGAGCACGGTGTAAGTCACTCAGAACAACAGACAATTGTCACAGCCTGTTAGTTCCATCTGCTTCTGACGGGGAGGGGAAAATGGTTCCACAGTGAAGTCAGAGGGGCTGAGACACAGACAGGGATTTTCCTGAGGGTCCCACAGCGAGAGCTGATGTATAATTAGAGGAATGAAAGGAAGAGGAGAAGCAGTGCCAGGCAGCCTCTGGGTGATCGAGGCTTCTGTCTGCCAATCATGGTTTCTGACATTTGAGCCTTCTTCTCTTCAGTGTTAAAAGAAAAAAGAAAAGAAAAGACATTGTCGCTGGGAGTCGCAGTGTAGATCAGTAGGAACGGAATGGAGTGGAAGCGGGGCATTTGCTCCAGTCACAGTGACATGTTGTGTCAGCACGTGGACTAGGGCCTCTAACTGGGGTACCCACCAATGATCAAGTGCTTTTGAAAACAGAAAGGTCACGGCTTAAATATCCCTCAGTTTCTTCTGCTTAGATTTCTTTTTCCTTTTTTTTTAAATTGAAACTTTATTTTAAAAATAAAACAGTATGCACCCAAATTAATCAGACCGAAAGTCTATACATCTAAATGTATAGGCTTCCACACAGTTAGAACAGCCATTATGAAGCTGTAGAGAGTTACATTGGATTTCACATTAATTTTATGACTAAAATGATTGGTTTTACTAAGTAAAATGTATATAATATCAGGATCACTTAAAAATCACACTTACCGGACCATTTCCAAAAACACTGTTGTTGGGACCTGGGATTCCCACCCTCTAACTTGGGGCTTATGTCATCTTGGGTAAGCAGTTCAACCTTTTAGGTTTTCCTTATTGGTGAGCTGACAGGACAGTCTCTTGCTTTTTTCCAGTGTGGATCCTGTGGAATAAATATTGGATAAAATTACTATATGCCAATCAAGTAGCTGTGGTTAATTCTGAGTTGGGATTGATTTCTTTGTTTCAGGACTCCTCAAAGTATGCTAGGATTGGCTGTTTCCTGTCACAGCACATTTTGTCACAAAGGTCATCTCCTTTCCTTCATAGCCTGTCCTTCCACCCTCTGAGCAAAAGCTCTTCTCTCTCTCCCATTACCTGTCCTGTGCCCTCGGAGTCAGAAACCACCCCCTCTTTCTCATTCCTTGTCCCCTGTGTCTGAGAGTCAGAGACCCGCCCCTCTTTCTCATTCCTTGTCCCCTGTGTCTGAGAGTCAGAGACCTGTCCCTCCCTCCCATCCTCTTTCCCCCTTATCCTCTGAGTCAGAGACCATCCTCTCTCATCCCGTTTCCTACCCTCCAAGTTTTAGCAGCACGTCTTGTGACTTGAGAATTTGAATACAGCTGGGAAATGATCATTATATAATACCCGAATTCTAAATAATTTTACAGAGTGATTATTTTTATACAGTAGTAGCTCCCATTTCTCACGTCCCCAACTTAGAGATTTTCCAGAGCCTTCCTGCAAGCCTTGAGAGGTCCCCTTCCGCTCCTCAGCCTTTTTGTTGACATATGAATTTGATGTCAATTATAAAAGCTTGAGTGAATTCAATACTTTCATACATTGCAAGGAAAAGTTGTGTGCATCTGAAACTAATTACTTAGGCTCTCGAGACCGCTCTTTAATTATTTGACCAGTGGAATGTTTATGTGATTTAAACATTAGCTTCAATATTCTTGATCAAATGCTTTAGGCTGTTATAAGAGCACATCAGATTGATTTTATGGCCAAACTAATGGTTGAAATCTTCTTTTGAAAGTGGTCCAGAAAAAGAAAATAGACTTCATAGAGGTTGATTCAAGGGAAGGGACATGTACAAGAAATGCTAAAGTTCATTATCAACTCCCATCTTGGTGGGATACAGAGTCCTCTAGGGGTAATTTTCAGGACAAGAAATTATGAGTTATCAATTTCCTTAGCACTTGAGATTCTTCCTCAGGGGGTACCATTGTTGGTGCAGGAGACCCAGTAGCAAACAGGCTATTACAGTAACCCACGCGGCGATGACTAGCCATCTATTCATTTTAATTTCTTGGGTAATTGGTTTCATCTATTAGCAGTCAGCCACATATTTAAGCCACAAATGACTTTTCTCCATTAAAAAAAAAAAATCTTTCCTCTTGGGTGTGATGGTCAACTAAGCCAATAAGCCTGGTGGATTTTGCTAGCTTCTTATATCAGTGACTTCAGACACTCCCGGGATTGCTAAGTAAGATCTACCCAACGACTCTTACCAATTTTTTTCCCTTTCAACAAAAATGTCCCAGAAAACTGCACATTCCACCATTAGTGTTCCTTCATTATAAAGCACAGACTTATAAAATTTACTTAGTGGAATTCGTGATCTCCTCAGAACACTGTAGATAGCAGTTTAATATGTCATTTTCGAAGGACTGGAGGAGCTGAATCGTTTTTTACAGTCTGCAGTAAAAGCGGTCCTTCCTAAGAGGCAGTACAGTGATTTTTATGTGTCTTTTGCATCTCAAACATGGATTTACTTGGACTACAAAATATTGACTCTTTTCACAGCCAACAAGTTGTTGACTTTACAGAGGGAATGTAAAGAGACTCCCTGCTGCATTCACTGTCACCTCCCAAATGCCTGCCTTTTCGGCTGCTATCACCACTGTCGTCTAATAACTAAACCTGGGAAGAACAAGCCAGTGTGGCCCATTTGAAGCTGAAGCTGAAATGTACCGCCATGTTATTATGGGGAGAATGATGCCATTTGTATTATTTTTGAAAGGAAGACAGAAATGTGTTCCGAACAGACAAAAATCATTGCTGGAATTCTATGGCATTCATGGGGATGTGTGTGACTAATGCAAGGCTCACTTCCTGGGCACCAGCACTCATGTCCAGAGCCTTCCTCTCCAATTGTAAAACATAGTCAAAGGGAGGAAAGAGGAAGGGTTGATTACTCCTAAGGCTGAAGCAAGAGAAGACAATACTCTATCTTTGAAGATTCTTTTGGTTCAGTGAAGCCAGCTGGCTTACCAGAATTTTTCGGTGTTTAGCAATTTTATTATGAAAGATTTCAAACTCAGAAGATAATGCTCTAGTATTTACATAAATGAAGAGTAAACAGATTTTGTGAGTGGTCTTCTAAGCTCTCTCCCTTCCTTCCTTCCTTCCTTCCTTCCTTCCTTCCTTCCTTCCTTCCTTCCTTCCTTCCTTCCTTCCTTCCTTCCTCCCTCTCTCCCTCTCTCCCCCGCCCACCTCTCTTACTTTGGTTTTTGAGACAGGGTCTTACTGTGTAATCCAGGATGGCCTGGAACTCTTTAGGTAGATTAAGATGGACTCAAATTCACACCTAACATTCTGCCTCTGCCTTCTGATATTAAGTCATGCCTAGCCTTTCCCTGATACAACTTTGCAAAAGAAGTATTCACTGTGTAGCCTAAGCTGGCCTCATAATCATTATCCTCCTGCCTCCAGAGTTTGGAGATATATATATATTTCACCTTATCCAGAAAACATGCATTTTTTTTTAATTTAGAAAAATGGAAGCCAGGCATGGTGGTACACACTTGCAATCCCAACACTTGGGAGGCTCAGGCCAACCTTGGCTGTTCAGTGAGATTTTATCTCAAGACAAAAAAGTTGAGGAAAATAGAGGCCAGTGAGGTGGCTCAGCAGTCCAAATGCTTGCTGCATAAACCTGATGACCTTGAATTGATTCTGGATCCCATATAGAGGTGGAAGGACAGAACTGACTCCACACAGTTATTCTCTGTCCTCCACATACACCATGGCAAGCATGAACCACCCCCCAATCCACACACTCCATGTACACATACACATATCACACTAAATAACAATGAAAATTTGAGGGAAATGGATAAGGCCAGGAGAAGATACTTGCAATCTCTTTTAACAGATATAAAATAATCTATAAAGAACATTACAAATTAATACAAAAATACTATAATTCAACAGGAAGCTGCACTCAATAACTATGAAATTCTGTAGACGAATGGGAGTGTAATCCATAAGCCTATGGAACTGGGCTCAACTTCACTTATGTCCAGAAAGAGGGATATTAAAGCAAGTTATGAGTGCCATGTGGGCAAAAATACTGACAGAGACCATGGGTTTGGAGAAATGTGGGGAAAGAAGATGTTTTCTGTCTTGAGTGAAATGTGTTTGCTTTGCAGAGGGAGATGTTGATGGAAAATGTGCGGACTAGAGAGGTCAACTGTGTGGTCATCTCTATGGAGGAAGACACCCAACATGCACACAGAGACATGAAGATATCACTGAGGACCAAAGACAAAGCGAACAAATACCAAGAGAAAAGATGGCACATTAGACTTGTTGGCACAACAAAGCCCCATGTGGCAGTTACAGTGAATTGTACTATCTGCGTTAAAACCCAGCACTCGATTGTTAGTACAACCCAAAAGAAGTAAATGTTGACAGTGACATCATTCATAAGAGTCAAAAGGCAGAAAAAAAGCTGTATGTCATCAGCTGGCAAGCAGATTATGGCATAGGCACATGATGATGGAGTGTTATAACACAAGCAAAGCCAAAAAATATTGTGTTCAGTGAAAGAAGCCAGGCACAAAACACACACAGACCGTAATTTTGTGAGTATGGAATTTCCAGACTCATACATAGGAAGAGAAAGTAGATTAGCAGTAGCTTAGGACCAGGATTAGGATAATAAAGGAATATGTAAGGGGCTCGATAAAGGCTCTGTCAGATTAAATAATAAACAGGTAAATACATTAATTTTAATTTTTAATGCTAATTTGTCAGTGTTTTCCTTTATGACACATACATTGTACATCCTACTTTTAGAATTCCTTCCTGTGGATTGAAGAGGTAGCTGCTTGCTATAGAAGAATGAGAACCTCAGTTTGGTCCCCAAAGACTAAGTAAACCCCTGGGGATGATGGTGTATGCTTCCAATCCCAGTGCTGGGAAGGTGGAGGGAGAATTGGTGAGTCTTGAGTCCTAGCGAGAGACTGTCTCAAACATACCAAGGGTGAATTGTTCATGAACTATGCCCAACGGTGTCATTGGCCCCCTGTGCACAGACACACACATTAGCATATCTGCACACATATGTGCCCACACACAGACATGCTCCCACACAGTACACTCATGTAGTCTTTCCAATAACAACGTTACTCTGTTTTGTTTCTCTGAAGTGCTTAGTTTGGGGATTTTTCATACTAAACCATAAGTTCATTTGGAATTCTCTATGTGTGTTATTTTCATGGAGTTAATTAAAAATCTAATTTCACCTCTTAAAAATTAATTATCTATTTAGGCACCTAATTGTCCTAGCATTTGTATACTAAACACTACTTCCCCCTTATCTTGAAATGACATTTTTGTTATGTGTGTGTGTGTGTGTGTGTGTGTGTGTGTGTGTGTGTGTGTGTATTGGGGGGAGGGGGAAGAAAGAGGTGAGTACTTAAGTCTTGGCTCTGTCTTTTGTCTACCATAGTGTTGATACCACATTTATATTTAACTTTATGGCTAATTTTGTACCTGAGAAGATAAATCCCTTTCCCCTCCCTCCTCTTTTACTTTCATCTTCAAAATTATCTAAGCTATTTATTATTTTTTGCTACTCCATATATGTGTTAGACTGCATCAAAATTGTTACTATATATTTGTTAAATTCCATGAAAAAGTCTTTGTCCTTTTTTATAGCAATAGCATAAAATTTATACCTTTAGTCTTTACTGAGATAAGTACACAATGCGAAGTAGCGTTTGTAATTTCCAAATGAGTTCATGGACAGAAGGAAACAAGAAAATAATGTATCAAACTCCAGGGTCTTTACAGCCATGACTGGATTTTTAACATAGTGTTATGTTTACTATTCTTTTAACACCTTCACTTTACAGAGCCTACAAATCATCT